CAAGCCAAAAACAAAGTCAAAGCAGCAAGTAAGTGCACTGGGAAGCGATTGCAACCTTTTCAGCTGTTTGTACATTGCCACCCAGCATCGAAGCGGAGACCTAGACGAATTTTTTATGTACGAAAATCAGCCCTACCCAGCATCTCTCTCTGAGTTTGGAAAGCTAATATTCGGGAAGAAGTCAGACCTCTTGACATGTGTTAAGCCTGCCAGTACAAAGCAGCCTGATCCACCTCCACTCTATGATTGTAAGATCTTTGATGGACCAGCTGTTGTTCACGCCCTTCCATCCACAACTGTTTCCACCTTTGATAGCTATGCTGAAAACTTCTTTATCCCATTCATTCTGAATCATCTCCAATCAAGTAAACGAGTGGACATTGTTTGGGATACATACAAGGCGCACAGTATCAAGGATTCAACCGGAAGAGAGGTAAGGGTCAGAGAAGAAAAGTAAGAGGTGACACCAAGATTCCTCCAAACTGGAAAGCATTTCTTCAAGACAACAACAAGAAAGGACTCTTTGCCCTCCTGACCAGCAGAGTTTCAAACTTCCAGTTTCCCAAGAACAAGGAAGTAAACATCATCTCAGACTAATCTGTAGTCTCAAGCAGAGGTTCTACTGATAAACAGAGATGTGACCACGAGGAAGCCGACACAAGAATTGTTGTACATGTTCAACATGCGCTGAACAAAGGATGGAGTCAGGTTTTTGTCCGCACAGTGGATATGGATGTTCTTTTCATAATGATGGGGATTTTTCATGACTTGATCACTTTGTATCCGCCTGCAGCCATATGGATTTGTTTGGGCATGGGGAAATATGTCCAGTGCATCAGTGTGAATCCCACCTGCGAATTTCTTGGCCTGAAATGTCTCGGGCACTCCCTATGTTGCATTCATTCACTAAATGCGACACGACCTCCTGTTTCTTTGGCAAGGGTAAGAAGTCTGCCTAGGACGCATGGAAGTCATTCCCTGACGTAACATAGACATTTAAGTTCCTGGAAGATCACCCTTATTACCAGCTGGACAAGGATGATTCCATCTTCAAACTTCTGGAGTGATTTATCGTAGTTCTCTATGACAAGGCCAGCAATGTGATCAATGTAAATGAAGCCCGCAAAGAAATTTTCACCAAAAGGAACAGGATCCTAGAGAACATCTCTCCCACACAGGTAAATTGAGTTCGCAACATTTTGTAAGGAGTGAAATTCAGGCTTT